ACTCATCAACAGCTTTCATTTGAGTACCCACATGCATTTTTGATATATTTTTTATATATACATATATATTATATGAATATATGAAAAATTGATGTGGGTATTCAAATGAAAGGTCTCGATGAGTGTAATGTTAGGGTGAGCTTATATCTTTAAAAATGTCAATAGTTCACAAGATATTTGTTAAATTGCACTGTACTTTCTTAAATATTGATGTTTTTCAAGATATAAGCTCATCTCGATGTTACACTCATCAAGAGCTTTCATTTGAGTACCCACATGTATTTTTGATATATTTTTGATATATACATATATATAGTATATATAAATATATAAAATATATGAAAAATTGATGTGGGTACTCAAATGAAAGGTCTCGATGAGTGTAACATCGGTATGAGCTTATATCTTTAAAAATTTCAATAGTACTCAAGATACAAGGTCATTTCTTAATTATGTATCTAGAGATAATTTTCGAATGCAGCCTAAATACTTATCATAATAAATTGACTATTGGTGAGAATAATATGAATATTCTTTTAATAATATATTAGATTAATATTGCAATTTTTGTTTTTTTTTCTTCAAATTTTAAAACAACCAAGCACCAAAATTCAAGTGTCTCATATTTTTAATAAAGAATTAAAAAAAATTTTTTTTCTAATTTTTTAATAAATAAATTTTCAAAAATTTAATTTTAATTATAAAAAAATTAGAAATTTTGTTTTTTAAATTCTTAATAAATAAATTTTTATCAAAATTGTTTAGGAAAAAAATTTTGAAAAAAAAAAAAAGAACAAATTTTTGAATAAAAAAATTTTTTCTTAATTTTTTAATAAAAAATTCAAAAATCGTAACTAGAAGTAAAATTAAAAAAACAAAGTCTTACTTATGGTTACTTAAAAAAAAAAAAAAAATAAATAAAATAGTATAATTACCCCTACAAGGACGACAATGAACCCCGCCACCGAGTACTCGCCAAAAAAACAAACTTCCGCTGTCGAGATCCTCGTCGGAGTATGCGGTGGCTGCGGCTGCATTTGACGCACAGCACTCTTCACGTGTAACACCTTGGGACAATAACTCCTTGCACTTACTATTGCTTATCGAGCTCCAGCAAATGCCGCCTGGAATTTACAATAAACAATTATACTGAAAAATAATCAAAAATAAATTTGTAATTATTAATTAGAGTGAAGAAGACTAGAAGGGCAGTACCGTAAAAAGAACCCGGGATTGTCAAAACCGACACCTGCAGACCGGAAAAAACCCCCAGACCAGAACAGAATAAGAACCACTAAAGAAAGAAGCAACTTGCAAAAGAGAAAAAGGTCCCGGTGTAATCGAGGAACCAGTTTACGGGTCAGCGCCCGTCGGTCCTCCGATGCGCTCAGTTAACGCTCAACACTTTTCCGAAAACTTGAAAATTTACCTCTAAATACTTTCGCGACTGGAACCATTTACAATTTCACAGATCTAACTTCAGCACACTGATAGAAAGATTTGTTTATATTTAATAAGCTTTATTGACTGTTAATAAATGATTTTTTAACATCATCAAATTTAATAAATTATTTATTAAATGTTAATAAATATTTGTTATCTATTAATAAATACTTATTAAAATTTAATAAATTAAATAATTGTCTTCAAATAAATTAAATTATTAATAGTTAATAAATCTTTCTATTATTGCAGAAATTTTTTCATTAACTTTTTGTAATTTATCTATTGAATTTTATTAGTGAAATAGAAAGTAGAAAAACTACACCATTAGAAATAATGTGGCAGAATTTAATTTTTATACATTAGCACTTGCATTTAGATTTAAATAAAAAAAATATTAATTAAATGCATGTTTTTTAATAAAACTTAGTCAAATGTTGAATAATTTTCTGATTTTTTTCATTAATTAAATTAGAATTGAAAAAATATTTTTTTTTTTTTCAAATTATACTTATGGGTCATTCCATATAGGTCAAAAGTTTTCTTTTATCATATAACGAAGTTCTACCAAAGGAAAAAAAAAAGTTTTTTTCAAAAGATACACGGAAAGAACAAGATGACACTGGATATCCTCCCAGATTATAATGAGTAAAAAAAATTTCAAATATTATCTAGCATAATCCAGATTACAATGAGTATAATCCAGATTACTATGAGTATAATCCAGATATCACGCAGTATAATCTGGATTTTTTTTTTTTTTAGCTATTATCTGAAATTTTTTTTCACCATAGATATCACTAAGTATAATCTGGGATGATATCCAGTGTCATCTTGTTCTTTCCGTGTATCTTTTGAAAAAAACTTTTTTTTTTCCTTTGGTAGAACTTCGTTATATGATAAAAGAAAACTTTTGACCTATATGGAATGACCCATAAGTATAATTTGAAAAAAAAAAAAATATTTTTTCAATTCTAATTTAATTAATGAAAAAAATCAGAAAATTATTCAACATTTGACTAAGTTTTATTAAAAAACATGCATTTAATTAATATTTTTTTTATTTAAATCTAAATGCAAGTGCTAATGTATAAAAATTAAATTCTGCCACATTATTTCTAATGGTGTAGTTTTTCTACTTTCTATTTCACTAATAAAATTCAATAGATAAATTACAAAAAGTTAATGAAAAAATTTCTGCAATAATAGAAAGATTTATTAACTATTAATAATTTAATTTATTTGAAGACAATTATTTAATTTATTAAATTTTAATAAGTATTTATTAATAGATAACAAATATTTATTAACATTTAATAAATAATTTATTAAATTTGATGATGTTAAAAAATCATTTATTAACAGTCAATAAAGCTTATTAAATATAAACAAATCTTTCTATCAGTGTGCTGAAGTTAGATCTGTGAAATTGTAAATGGTTCCAGTCGCGAAAGTATTTAGAGGTAAATTTTCAAGTTTTCGGAAAAGTGTTGAGCGTTAACTGAGCGCATCGGAGGACCGACGGGCGCTGACCCGTAAACTGGTTCCTCGATTACACCGGGACCTTTTTCTCTTTTGCAAGTTGCTTCTTTCTTTAGTGGTTCTTATTCTGTTCTGGTCTGGGGGTTTTTTCCGGTCTGCAGGTGTCGGTTTTGACAATCCCGGGTTCTTTTTACGGTACTGCCCTTCTAGTCTTCTTCACTCTAATTAATAATTACAAATTTATTTTTGATTATTTTTCAGTATAATTGTTTATTGTAAATTCCAGGCGGCATTTGCTGGAGCTCGATAAGCAATAGTAAGTGCAAGGAGTTATTGTCCCAAGGTGTTACACGTGAAGAGTGCTGTGCGTCAAATGCAGCCGCAGCCACCGCATACTCCGACGAGGATCTCGACAGCGGAAGTTTGTTTTTTTGGCGAGTACTCGGTGGCGGGGTTCATTGTCGTCCTTGTAGGGGTAATTATACTATTTGTACATAATTTTATAAGATTTCACTGAAATTAAATCAAAGTTTATATAATTATATAAAATTAGATAAGACAAAAAAATCATAGAATTTTCTATAATTATACTGAACAAAATAGAATCATATAGTTATTTCATATGGCAGTATAAAATTATTCAATAATTTTCAAATAATTTTTTATAATTATATAAAATTATATGAGACAAAAAAATCATAGAATTTTTTCTATAATTACATTAAACAAGATAAAATCATTTTGTTGTATAAAATATATTTGACAGTAGAAAATTATATAATAATTTTCAAATGATTTTACATAATTTCACTGTTCTGAAGTAAAGCTTATATAATTAAATATTATAATATAAAATTATACAGTAATTTGTATATAATTACATAAAATTATATGATATAAAAAAATCATAGTTATTTAAAAATATAAAATTATATAATAATTTTACATAATTTCACTAATCTGGAGTAAAAGCTTATAGAATTACATATAATCATATCAAATTACATATACAAACAAATCATATAACTCCATAAAAATATATTAAACAACGTAAAATTATATAGAAATTTTTGTATAATTTTACAAAACTTCCCAAAACTGAAATCAAAGTTTCTATAATTCTATAAAATTATATGATACAAAAAAAATCATAGAATTTTTTATGTAATTATATTAAACAAGATAAAATCATTTATATAAAAATATATTTGATAACATAAAATTATATAATAATTTTCAAATGATTTTACATAATCTCATTAATTTGAAGTAAAAGCATATAATTTCATATTATAATATAAAATCATCCAGAAATTTTTATATAATTTTATAGAACATAAAAAACATATTCAAAGTTTTTAAAATTCTATAAAATTATATTAGACAAAAAATGATAAAATTTTTTTTTTAATACAAAATTACTCAAAATAAAAAAATTTAGTGACTTTTTAAATCTAAATTTTAAAAAAGAGGTTGAAACAATTATTTCCATAAAAAAATAAAATTTTTTCCTACTATATGTTTACTTACTATGTCGGGAGGCTAGCAAGTGTCGGAAAGCAAGGATACACGACCTACCACTTGTTGCGCTAATACGCAATACTCTCACTAATATTACCATGATAAATCATAACAACAATAACAACAACAATAATGAAAACCCATGATATTAAATATTAAAAAAAGTGAATTATAAAAATACCTGAAACATTTTGAATATCAATCAACAGAACTCCAATAAAAATAAGCACCGTCTTGCAGCGGTGCCTGTGGTGGTGGTGTTGCAGGCGCAAGTAATTTTTTAGCAATTGCGAAAAATACTGTCGCGTGTTCGTCATTTCAGGCGCTTTGCGCCAATAACTCTCGTTGCAATAAGTCATATAATTAACAAAACAAAACAAATAATAATAACTACTCTAAATTCAGACACACAGACACTTTTTTCACTTTAAGCATTACACAGCAAAACATTTCTAATAATTATTTTTTACTTTATGGTATTTTTTAAAAAAATTTCCCGCATTTTTTAAAACCCCCGACTAAAATCATTAATTTGTTTTTTATTTCTTCCCGATAAATTTGTGAGGAAATTTTAAAAAAAATTATAGAGAGACTAAAGACACGATAATCACAGACGAGTACACGAGGAATCACTCGGTGCCGCTGGTGATGCTGCTGTTGCTGATGCTCCCCACTTTTTAATTTTCCCCTACTACGCATCGCCCCACTACAACCTATATTTTCGCTCCTGCTATACCGCAGTCACAACAATATTGTTGTTTTTTTTATTTATATTATTATTATTACATTTTGAAAAATTATTATTAATGGGGCAATGCGAAATGGGAAAATGACTAAAACTTAAAAATTTCTCTAATTCATTCTAATTAAGTCCTAATTTATTATTAAAAGTTTATATTTTACTAATTTGTAAAGAAAATTTTTTTTAATCAATAAAAAAATCGATTTTTCTCTCCTAGTAACTTTTCAGCCTTACTAACTTGTATCCGGATCAAATGTTGTTTTAATAGTTTTAACAACAAATTCATTTTATGTTTGTTATTAACTAACATATTTATTATTATACTTTTAAGAACAAATTTTGTTTATGTTCGTTATTAATTAACACCTAAGTTTATCAAGATCGTGTTGTCAGCAGGCTAAATCCCTTATTTGTGTTTTTTAATTAGTTTTTTTTAATTATCCTAAATAATTTATAGTTAAATATATAAACAATAATGTTTCTAAGGTTGAAATAATATAAAAGTCTTTTTAATAAACAATTTGATGTAGACATTCTGTACTTGTCCCACCAGTCACAATAAAAACAAATTTTTTTAATTATTTCTACGTAGGTAATCAGTCTAATTCTTCATAATATTGATTGTTTGTAGGATAAATTTTGTATTGAGAGGGAAGTATTTTTTAAAAGTTTATTGGTCGAACTGAAATTTGACTTTAAGGATACCTTTGGTAAGAGAGAAGGATTTTTCTTAGTCCCACCAGTCACACTCAGTCAAATGATAATTACGAGAAACTTTAAAAGTAATGGAGGTTTTTGACAAAGGGATGTTGTTAATTAGTTATTATTCTTTTATATTATAAGTTATAA